TTTCAATATAAAATATTAAAAAAATTTTAAAATAAAAATATATTAAAGAAATAAAATTATGTATCTCTCTCTCTCTCTCTCTCTCTCTCTTATATCTCTCAGATTTAAATATATGTTTTTGCTTTCATTTATAAACAGTTTTTGATATACTATATTTAATATAAAGTGTTGAAGAACTTATTAATCTTTATGCTAATAATTCCTAAATAAATTGAGTATTTACGTGATGTATAATATATCTATTTATATCTTATATCTTTGATTTTGATATATAATATTTGCAATAGTATTGAGTATTCGAATTAAGAAAGCGCTTTAGAGGATGCATGTATGTATTAAACTAAGTAAAAGTTTACAGCTTGTTTAGAGAGCTTAACGATTGAACGATTGCTTAATCCTTTAATTCCATGCATAATGTTTGTAATGCCTGTGCACAAACCACAAATGTCAGCAACAAAGGCTAAGTAAAAATAAATTTCTGTGAGGCTTCTGTGGCTATATGAGTTATGAGTGGTTATGATAAATGCCCTGTAAATCAGACTCTGTCTGTGTGGGCTACAAACACAAATTTTGTATGTTCCTTTCTTCTATTTAATCACTCGAGTATAGACGACATATCTATATGCATAGCTTCTTTTGCACTGCCAGCTAGTTGTCTTTCGTAAAAGTCTTCGATTAGCAAACTCGTCTATCGTTTAACACCTGCTCAAACACGCTACACTTTTTTTTATAGGGTATTGGCGTGCACGCAACTGGCGCTGGTTGAAATCAAACAACTTTACAACATGCAAACAGCCAACGGCAGCACACACATAAATCTGCAAATGTGATAAATGGCTGTAAAGCGTAGCTTAATGTTTATTTTAAATAATGATGATGAGCAGCATGTGCCGCGGCTCGTCGCTGCGTATCGTATGCGAATTCGCCCGGCACATTAGGTGAAAGTGTCAACTGCCAGTTGTGTGTGGCTCGCTGGAAGGTCTTTTCTATGGAGCTCGCAGCATGCCAGCTACTGCTGCTCCTGCTACTCCTGATGCTCTGCTGATACCATTTCGCATTCAATTATTCATAAATTGCGCACGCGTTTGCGCTCATTACGCATACGCCCCGTGTGCGTAAATTGCTTTCCATATTGAAATATATGTCACTCAGCGAACATATTAATTTGATTCACACAGCGACAGGTGGAAGTTGTCCTTGCACTTTTCATATGCCCTGACATTTGACTCAGTACCATTAGCATTATTTTGCATAATTTAACGCTGCTGTCCGCCCATGAGCTACGCATTGAAGCCTGTTGTGTCCTTTTGTACTTGAAAAGTTTTTGGGGCGAACTTCTTATAATTTCTGTCAAATGTTGTTTATAATACCAACGCAGCCGAATAATTTACCCACGAAATCGAAAAAGTTTTCGCTGCCCTTTTAGTATTTGTTCTAACTTCGAGTTCTGCTATTGTTGTTGCTGGTCTCTATGTGTGTGGGTGAGTGTGATTGTGTGTGTGCGTGTGTGGGTGTGTTATAATAAATATAAGTCAGCGCGGATTTGCATACATTAAGTGAGTGAGCACAGTTTTATGGCCAAGATGAATATAAATGAGACAATTTTGACACTGGTATTTGTATTTGACATTTGCACGCTTTATTTAAATTCATATTGGATTTTGAATGCCCACAAAGTTGCAGGTAATTCGTTTAATTGACAAGCCTAATGGAGGCTCAGTAGCATTACCATTTCAACACATGTCACATAAAAGCCAGGATTAGGATGCGTAAAGTATTAACTTTTCATTCGTGCCAAGGGAAAGTATTGAGTAAAGTCTTTCCTCCAGCTCGGCTTATCCATATGCACCATCATAGAAGGCATAGGCAAGGCACACTCAGCTAGGATCTCCCTGGATACAATTGGTATTATAAAAACAAACAAAAGCTAATGTCAGCATATTGAAAATCCAAAGAGACACACATTTGTTTGTTCAACTTATTTGATGTAACCATGAAATTTGGCGTAATACATTTTTCTTTATATTTTTGCCCGCTAAGCCGTTCAGGGCCACAGTCAGGGTCATCCTCGGCCACAGCTTATGGCAGGCTAAGTACACACAGCCCACGACATGAGTAATGACAACTTTATCGCTCATCTGTTTGGTTTGTGTGTCCCATCGGATTGGTCGGCGGGGGGTCGATGGCACTTGTCAACGTTTCTGTTTTAGAAACGTATTTGATTATATTATATGTTTCTGCTGTGCTCTGCCCAGAAAAATGTGTGGGCAATATTTGTGCCTGGTGTTAGTCTATATGGATTTTCTATTGCTTGTTGCTACTCCCCTGTCGAATGAATCGAAGATTACCTAAAAAGCAGCGTGAAGCATTCGACATGCCTGGGGAACAACAACTCATGGATTATGAATATGGTGCCCTTATCATTCAAAATATTGCATCCATTATGCAAAAGGCCACTCGCCAGTCATACCCATTGGGTACGCACCCCTCCCCACCCACCAACCATGGTTGAGTCAATGGCGTCATTAGCATTAACAAATGCCCGCAGCGTGAGGGCCATCAATCCAAGAGCGAGTGGTCCAAGTGTCCAAGCTGCTGCGCATACAAACGATTTGTCTTTGTGCTTATTGCTCGTTTACAAATTTGATTGTTGTACGTGTAGCTAGAATTTGTATGCCATGTAATATAATATTCGAGAATCCTTTTCAAATGAATAGATAATGTGAGGCAAAGGAAGACATCTGAATAACATTGTTTGAGTATTTAAATTGTAACATTTGGCAATATGGTCGAAGATATCCTCTTTCTGTCTCTCTCTCTCTCTCTCTCTCTGTCTCTCACTCCATCTCACTCTCTATCTATCTCAATCTCTTTATATATCAATCTATCAATTCATCTACCTTGCTCTCCTTGTTCCTCTCTCTGTCTCTGTCTCTGCCCCTCTCTCTGTCTCTCTTTTTCACTCTCTTTAAGAAATTTTAAGCTCAATGAATCAATTCTCACTGCATAAGCTTATGCAAAATATATAAATATCGCATATTTGTTTTTAGCTAGCATTAAGATTTTAAAGTTCTTGGTGTCTATCCAAGTTTTAATAATCATATGGTAAAATAATATTCTACAATTTTACGTAACTAATAAAATAATAGCTATTTCAGACCCTCCCAGACTTGAAAGCCCAAAAATATGATTGATTAAGTATGGATAACTACTTACATATTCTAACAAAAATATTCCAAAATATTCCATGCCTATTCCATCAAATTCACAAAGCAGATTTTGTGTTTACTGTCATTGGCACACCGAAGCATTTGAGTTGGGAATGTGTTGTAAAATGTGTTATTCTTGTTTGGCCAGTCTCGAAATATAAAAACTTACAAAATCAAATAAAAAATATCAAAATACTTTTTTTTTTTTTTGTCTATAGATTTCTGAAATTTTTGTCAGTCAATCGCGATGCAGGCCCATCATGCAATGCCGGATTTCCGGTGCCGGAATAATTGCCAGCACAAGGAGTGCCAGCGGCATGCCCCGCTGGGCATCATAGACCAGCACACGCAATGCAAATGCTTGGGTGAAGTGAATGCCTCATCGATATTTTTGGAGAATGTGCTCGACTTGGCCAATTCATTGGCCCAAATAATGATAATTTGCGGCCTGCACGAATGCAAGGCCAAGTCCACAGTTGACATTATAACGTATGCCTTTCTGCACTACGATCAGGTGTGCTACTGCATTGACACGGTGCCCAAGAAACGGCTACGAAAAGAGGACATCTTCCACGAGTTGGGCAAAAAGTCATTGATGAACAAGGTGGAGGCCCACCTCGCCTACAACATCATCAAGCGCGGCTTCAAGGCCTTCTACTACGAGCCCAAGCAGGAGCTGACCTACGATGATCAGGGCAGGCCCAGCTACAATGACGAGTGCGTCTGGGTGCATGCGGCACGTAAGACAGCCGAGAGCTATGCACGATTCGACGGCCTATCCTGCAATGAGCAGATGGCGTATGAGGCCAAGATCAAGATCGTCTATAAGAAGTTCTACGATCGCATGCAGACCCGCAAGCGCCAGCCGGAGGGTGATGACTGTAACTGTTGCTTCTGCGCCAAGAAGCGTGGACATCTTGTCTATGCCAAGGAGCCGGTGCCCTGTAGCACGAAACGCAAGCCAAAGCACGTGTGCCCCTATTGCTGCAAGAAGAAGCAGAAGCAATCATACACCCATCCCGCTCGCCCGTCAACCAAGTGCCCCAAGTGCCACAAGTCACGCAAGTTCTGCTGCTGCACCAAGATGGACTTCAATCTGCAATGGGTCAAGAGTATCTGGGATCGTCCCGATTTCAATCAGTATTACAAGAACGAAATCGCCGAGATCGAACAGCGTCTGGTCAAGGGCTCCTGCTGGCTGCCACCAGAGCCAATTGGCGCAGATGGCGGCGATGGCGAAGAGGSCGAGGAGGAGGAGGAATTCTCACCGGAAGCACAATTGGCTTTAGGTGGCAAGAACGTGGGCCTCCTGCCCAAGGAGGATGAAGAAGAGCCAACAGAAGCTCCGCCTCCAGCTGCTGAGCCCGAGCCAGCTGCCGAGCCACCCAAGGAAGAGGACCAATAAACCGTCAGCAAAATACGCACTAAATTTTACCAAAACGGATTTCATTTGGAAATCAACAGTCTCATTAAAAATTCTATGTACTCTTTCAATTCAATGACTTTCTTTAGGCCCGACTTGAAACGAAATAAAAATTGCGATATTCAAGTCCTTCAGATCTGCAAATGCAATTATTTAGATTGACTTAATATGAAGGACCTTAATATGATATGACTTAATATGAAAGACCCAATTTCACTCGCGAATGCTAGATCATATATGTATATATATAATCTAGCTGTAACTGTAACTCATTCGTACTTCATGTATTCCTGAGGCTTGAGCATCTTCTTGGCATCTCATTGCAAGTTGATAGCAACTTGCTATGAAGTGTGCAGCAGGCCATTATGGCATACAAGTTAGACGTGTTGCCCTGCTCAGCTATGCACACGTCCAAGCACACTTCATCAAAGCCACAAGCCGCTCAACAGTTGTTGCTGCTGATGAAACTGGGGCCCCAGCTCGAGTGCTGCATTTCAACAGTAACTCAAGGTTGCCCTTGCAGCGCCCGTAGCTGAAATTGCAAACTGCAGTCATTTACCTCGCACTCGCACTCCAAGTACTCACTCAACAGTTCTTTGATCCAGGCTTATTCAGATTTCAAACGGGGAGCATGAGGAGCTCTCTGCCAAAGGTGTAAGCCAAAACTACTTTTGCTGTGAACTAATTGCACTAGGTTCATGCATTCATCTCTGGCAATTTGAGCTTTAAAATAAGTATTACATATGTTTTTTCCAAATGCTTGCCCAAGCTCTCAACGATGTTATTAGTAGCTCATTAACAATAATAATAGGTGCTTGCTTGGACTAAAATTGTTTCAGGTAACCTTAAAGGTTTAAATAACTTTTATTTAGATATACCATTGCAATACGATTTAATTTCATATTTCTGAATATTTCACTGAGTAGGGATGCTCGAGCTGGTAAGGCTTAGCCCTTTGATTTTAAATTCTTAAATAATAATCTTCAATATTATTAAAACCGCAGCATATTCCTTACCCCAAATCCTTTTCTCTTAAATCAACATGAATATAAATCATTTCAGAGCCTGGCTATCAAATTGGTAATTTTTCCGTTGCGGTTTTATAGGTTTTCCGCCAATCGAAACGAGGCCAGGTGGCATGCAAAACGAGAGCCTCAGACATGGAAAGCCGCAACGATTGATACAATTTGTCATTGGCTGTCAATCTGGCCAGCCAAGGCTGCACATCGAGTCCAAACGAATTCAAGTCCAAGGCTAGCCAGCAGGTGTCCTCGCACCTGTCAGCCGATAGGCTGGCAATTTAAATGTGATTTGTGGTTGAATCCACACTATCCTCTATCATGCGTGTTGCGTATAATTGCCAGAAAGCATGCTAATTTATTTTTGGTATTTTTGATAAGCCGCAGAAGCCGCAAAACTTTACTATTTGCCGAATTGACACTTATTTATTGGCCACTTACAATGCAAATGGATAATTAAATATGCAAATATGCTGTACGCCTGAATGGCAGCCCACTTCAGTTGATCACATCGTCAATTGGTTAATAACAGCAGCAAAAGTACATCAATTTGCATTTTAATTGTCGAGAGGCAAATTGAATATCTTTATGCAAACTGAATTGATGCTGTCTGAGTAGATAGGCATGGACTTGAGTTTCACTTAAAGATGCGAATGAAGCGAATGAGTATGATGATAAGCCTGCAGCTTATATATGCAGAAAATATATAAAGTTTCAAAGTGTTTGCCTCGGGCTTCAACAAAATTCATTAGAGCAAAAGTTGTCAAAACAGATTTTATTGCACATAAAATAAAGGTAAGCAGGTTTTGGGCTGGGCAAAGCAATTTGCACGAGCACAAGGAAAATGTGTGGAAATTCAGAGTGAACTACAGCACCTATGATATTGAATATAAAATATGATGGCATTTCAACGCGCGCCACATATTTATATAGATATAGAATTGCTTTTAATGCTCGCAACCAAATTGGATATTCGAACTCAGCTGCAGTCAGCCGCAGCCGCAAAGCCACAGCAACAACAGCCAACCAAAGATGCTGGCCAAGGATGCCTCATGCTCGGGTAGCTGCAGAGAAGTCGCAAGTGGATTTTTAGTGTAAATGTAAATGCGCTCAGCGAATGCCAGTCCGCATCTGCAACTATATCGAGGGGGCCATAAGCTGGAGTTGGCTTTATCCTTTATGTCGTTGGCAGGGCACTGTATGGCTGAGCTTTGCTGAGCTTGCCTGGGCTTGGCTGGGCTTCTGCAGTCAGCCTGTTTACGAATTATTTCCATATACTAGTCGGCTTTGAAATTGGATTTTATATGTGGTCGCTGCCATTCTAAAAATATTTTTCTTTCAACTGTCTAAAAGCATGCAGCACGTATATAACACATACCAAAGTAGGATAACGATGAAAGCTGTGTTGTCCTTAGAGACTCTAGAGACTTACACATAAATATACGAGGCGCAGAAAGCTAAACTATTATAAAAAGGCAAAATGGAAAATGTCAAGAGTCGAGTGGTAAATGCTCGAAAAATTCCAGCAGATCTCATTTAAATAAATTGTTTCGTCCGAAGAACTCATTAATCAATCCTAATTTATACATAATATAAAAAATGCAGTCAAGGCAAACCATTTAAATTTTGATTATACTACAGATGTTAGTCTTTAAAGCCAGCCACGGCCACAAATCAATAAGCCACGCCTTCCCGCATGACAGTTGTTTGTCTATCAAGATTACCTTTCCGCATTCCCAGTCACTTTGGCTTAATGAAAGAGTGATGTTCTACCTGGTGCTAGCTTAGTGCCAACAACGTGGCGTATGAGCAATGCCTGAAGGCCCTCAATGGCTGACCTTTTCCGCCAAATTGACTTCCTGACTGTTGCCATGCTTGTTTTTACATATTCAATACGTTAGTTTTCCTCCTCTCTTTTTTGTGCTCGGCAAAACATTTATAGCTCTAGTGCGCACCGTAAGTACCCACAAATAATGAATGGATAGCAGAAGAGGGAAAGCAGCCAGCAAAAAGGAAAATGTATATATACAATATATACATATATATATATACAAATATATATATG